CTGTAGCCCTCCAGGGGTAAAGTCTGTCTCCCCAACTTTAAGACCTGAAAAAGGGATTGTGTGCTTGAAAGCCCGTTTCGTCTAACTCACTCAATTGACCTACATATATTACTGTTTATTACAAATCCTGCCTAAACTCAGGTACACCAGGTGTGTGGGCAGGATATGTCCGTACAGACCACCTAAAGGACTTTTCCACTGACTGGGTAGGTCCTGTAGACCCCTGCTTTAGAACAGCTTCATTTGATGCCTGAAATACAGACACAAGTTAGGCAGACAGGAGGACATGTGACTTTCGTGTGAAAGGATATTTTCTGGTTTGTTTATTTTTTTTGTTCTTTTAGCTTCAGCAAGTCCTAATCCTTCACCTGTCCATATATATGTTTGTTCATTTGTGGAGTGTGGGGGTGGGGGGGTGTGTGTGTGTGTGTATGTGTCACATCCACATTGGATGAAGATGTGTGTGAAGGACAGTCAGAGGGATGACAGTACCTGCTCCAAAGCCAGTGATAACTGGCAGACCAACCTGGTCCTTCCTGCCACATCTACAAGGGAAAATGTATTTTACCCAGTCAAGGTTATCTCAAGGAACCTCTGCTAAGCTTGACAGCTGCCTGGAGCTAGTATCCACATGTGTATGCATTGCCCACAGTGCTGCCACCTCTGACACTGCAGCCAGTGCCACTCCATACTCCAACCCTGGACAGGAGACATGGGTTGCTACCACTTCCCCAGGATAGAGCAGGGTATTATTTGCTCCACTAGATCTCTCCCATTCCCACTGCCTCCTTGATCCATTCAGGGGAGCGCAGCCTGTTAACCCTTTTTCTCCTAAAGTCTAACCCGTGTTGTTGGCATGGCTGAGGTTAGGGACGAGTTCGGTCTTGCTATGATGGTGCTACCAGCTATCTTTTCTCCCTCACCTGCTCCTTTTCTTGTGGCATGACATAGCCAGAAAGCTCTGAGTGGTAAGAGGGATTCTAGAGGTCTTTTTTTCTTCCTTATGCACACTTTGGACCTGTACGGATGACACTGCTTGTCCTTGGGTACCCAGGATCAAGCGGCAACAGCTCTACCTCAGGCCATCTTCAAAAACAGTTTTCTCCCTCTTGGCTTGTGAAATAACTGTAGACCCAGATCTTACATCTGCCATGGAGTACCAGACTATTGCCTTCACTTAAACTCCAGGAAGCTCAGGTTGACACCTACAACTCATCATGGGACAGGGCACTGGAGCCTGACCATCAAGAAGGAGTCGGCTCCAACCAAGACAGCAGCAAACTGTGAGAAAAGTGTGGAGCTGAAGCCAGTGCTCAGATCAAGGACTTAGTTCAGCATCGTCTCTTGTCAGCTGAGCATAACTGCTGTAGCCAAAAAGCATGTTTCAGCTCAGAAAATATACAGAAACAGTAAAAAAAAGAAAAAAGACAGAAAAAGAATTTTCTCTAGCCAGCATGCATGACTTCAGGATGAGAACTGCCAACAATATTCTTGTGACAACCAAACGCAAGGTGAAATTTCAGTCGTGTGCAGTGACTTTTCAGAAATAGGCTGGGAGGAGAGATATGAGCCCTGCCAAGGGGATAGAAAGGCAATACCTGGAGAACAGGGTACAGAGCTGCTGACTGAGACAAGTGTATCGTGTGCAGTGATTTTTGGTGTTTACTGAGGCAAAACTGCCTGGGCCAATAAAGGGACATTCTCCTTTGTAGGTAGGGAACAGGGTGTTTGTGGAGATCGTAGCAATCAGTCCCTGGCAGTTTCTTTTTCTTTTTCTTTTTCTTTTTCTTTTTCTTTTTCTTTTTCTTTTTCTTTTTCTTTTTCTTTTTCTTTTTCTTTTTCTTTTTCTTTTTCTTTTTCTTTTTCTTTTTCTTTTTCTTTTTCTTTTTCTTTTTCTTTTTCTTTTTCTTTTTCTTTTTCTTTTTCTTTTTCTTTTTCTTTTTCTTTTTCTTTTTCTTTTTTCTCTTCTCTTCTCTTCTCTTCTCTTCTCTTCTCTTCTCTTCTCTTCTCTTCTCTTCTCTTCTCTTCTCTTCTCTTCTCTTCTCTTCTCTTCTCTTCTCTTCTCTTCTCTTCTCTTCTCTTCTCTTCTCTTCTCTTCTCTTCTCTTCTCTTCTCTTCTCTTCTCTTCTCTTCTCTTCTCTTCTCTTCTCTCTCCCCCTTTTTTCCATTATTTTTTTTAAACTCAGGCCAGAGCCAAATTTCAAAGGAATAAATATACTTCTTTTGATGATGCTGATTTAGGGACCATCGTATCATCTGAGTACTCCTACAAGTCTGCTTCCCACACCATACCAGCATTGCTGTGTTTTGGAGGCCGCCATCCTGTGAACCGCTAAACAGACATGCAGCAAACAGCAGTAGTTGCTTTCCTTTTTTTCTTTTTTCTTTTTTTTTTCTTTTATTCCTTAAATTCTCAGTAGCCAAAGCAGCTCTTGGTCTATTACTTCCCCATGATTTTAAACTTGGGATGTAAACGAATTAGAGCAGTACCTGCTGCGGAGTCCATCCAAGGAAAGGGAAAGGCTCCCGGAGGACTTTGGCTAGCCATCCAGCAAAGCCCAGGATGCTGGGGGTGGTGCGGGAAAGGCCGGTGCTAACGAAAGCATTCTGGTTGGCAGTAAATGTATTTATTTTCCAGACTCTGCAAACCAATCTATGTCTGCGCTCATTCATTCAGTGCATGCTCTTCTCAACAGCCGCTGCATAACGTTCTGTTCCTGTTCACTGTTGACCGTGCGTCTACATTTAAGTGTGTGTTTTACGTGTGTGTCTCTGGCTAGGCCTCCTACATTCTTTTTTAATTCCTTTCTTTCTTTTCTTCTTCCTTTCTTTCTTTTCTTTCTGTTCAGTTAGTTTGTTTTGCTTTTTTTCTTGTTTCGTTTTCTATAGTTTAATGGCAAGTATTTCCATTAGATTTTTTGACTGATGCTGTGTGTTATTTTTTTTTAATTATTATTTTTATATATATCTTCTTTCCCCACCTTTCCCTTTTTCCACACTATATATAAATATATATATATATAAAAAAAATCTTTTCTTCTTTTGTCATTCAGTCA